GTTTGTATGTAATGTATGAATATAATATACAAGTTTCACTTTTTAAATGGAATTACTGAAATAAATCTACTTTTTCATGATATTCTAATTTTATGACCAGCACCTGTATATGTTCAGTCATGCAGCACAAACTGTTAATGTTTTCATGAAAGCAATATGTTAAATTAGGTTAAACTATTCTTTTTAAACTAAATGGATGATATTTACTTTACATGAGGTCGTAGCATTATGTTTGTGAAAGTGGACCACTTGTTTCTGAGTAAGAGCATTTGGTGTTCTTTCTTCTAGCTACACCATCAAGGACCTGTTGAACCACGCTTTCTTTGCTGAGGACACGGGTGTGAGGGTGGAACTTGCAGAGGAGGATGATGGGAAAAAGACCTCCATAGCGCTTAAGCTCTGGGTGGAGGACCACAAGAAGTTAAAAGGAAAGTACAAAGAGAGCGGTGCCATCGAGTTCACGTTTGACTTGGAGAAGGAGGTCCCTGAGGTTGTGGTGCAAGAAATGGTGAGTGAATAATTTAGACTGTACAAGCCTTGGAGCAAATACTCTGTCAGAAAAAATCAGTAGATGTGTGGATTTAGAACACTGCGACTGAATTTACTTTTGTTTTACCTGACAAGATGACACCCAGTAGTCATGTGTGCAAGGTTGAACTATTTCCAAAAATCCTTGCATATTTTTCTGGAACATTGTTCATCATGTGCCAGGATGAAAAGATGTACTCAAATACAGATTGAGGTGATAACTTGCACTACTTTTCAAGGAAAACAGATTTCTTTTTTTGTTTATGTTGTTTGGATTTGTTTACATAATTTTATTGTTGTTTTTGATCAGATAAGAGTAAAAACTTGATGAAATATAAAGGTGGGTTTTCCTTTCTGTGTGCATATTTCCTCAAATGTCTCATTTAACATTTGTTGACAGTAAGTATGTTACATTACGGGGAGCTGAATTAATACATTGGAGATACCGTCACACGGAGAATGCAAACAGTCATATCAGACTTGGTTCCTTTTCTGTAACATGTTCATGTAAAAAATATAAACAAACAAAAACACAAAGGCAACCTGTGTTTCCTTCTATTTCTATTTTAACCCATCTTCCTTTTTGTTGTTCTTCTCAAACATCCTCATTTCTGCTCCCCTGATTTCGGCCTTGATCATGTTACAGAGGAGGCAGACTTAATGATTATATGTCTAGCATGTTTCCATGTCTCAACAAAAGTAGTCAACTTCAGAGGCGTCTGAATCTCCTTTTCCTGGCTTCCATGCTTTTTGTGCATAGAAGATAATTTTAATATTTTGTATGAGTCCTGTTTTGAACAATGAACCCATCTGATGACAAAGGAGAATAATTTTCCTCAGCTCTTTAAATAGATTTTCTTTTCTGTCCTTTTCTCCCTCTGCTTGTTCTTCCCGTCTTCCTCCCACACTCTTGTTTTTAATGCACCCGCTTTTATCTCACATGCTCACTGCTAAAAATACCCTGAAAATCATGCTCTTCCCCGTTTTTCCTTGCCAGGTGGAGTCTGGCTTCTTCCACGAGAGCGACGCTAAGACCGTGGGGAAATCGATCCGAGACCGCGTGGCCCTGATCAAATGGAGGCGAGGGAGGATGGCCTCTATTGCGGTTCCAGTGGATCAGAGTGACCCAGGACACAGGAGCAACGCGGCCCCATCAGAGGGCACCTCCGCTGGGCCGCCACACGTGGGACAGCCTCTCGTGCTCGAACCTGAAGAGCCCGAGGCAGATCAGCACAGCAGGCGAAACAACTTGCCAACCAGTACCACCTCAGTGACGTGTAAGAGAGTTTATTCTCCCAGAAACAAAATCAAAACCCTTCACTTTTTTTAATGAGTGCTTAATTTGTGTGTCTTTGTAGCAGACGGCACACTTGACAGTGGTATGGGCTCTACTGTGTACTCAGACTCCCACAGCAGCCAGCAGAGTGTCCTCTACCAGTCCCTGTTGGAGCCTATTTCTATGGCAACACAGCAGGTCTGTATGAGGAGTTCACACCCATGTGAACCACCTATGCTCACATTTATTAAAACACACACATACTGCAAAACACTCACCGCTCATGACCTCTGACCTGAACACAGAGCCGGAGTTGTAAAGTAACTAAGTACAAATACTTCTTTACTGTACTTAAGTATAATTTTTGGGTATTTGTACTTGAGTAATTATTTTTCAGCCTACTTTTTACTTCTACTTATATCTATACTTTCTACTTCTTACATTATTTTAAAAGGGCAAAAAGTATAAAGTCATTACTTTTAGTTCATTTTTGCTTGTTTTAATTCATTTTGTTATTACAAGAAATTCTGTAAAGATAAACTGTGCCTCCTGGATAGAGTGAATATAATTATGGTTGAATGAGACATATAAATATAGATATAACATTTTTACATTGTATAGTTTGTACACAATCCATCACAGCTGCACCACACATATGTCACACTCCAGCAGGACAGATCAGACCTATATAGGTAGCCTGAAGATGTATGTGGTACATACATAAAAATATATACAGTATATACCTGAAATAGCTACATTAGTGCATCCTAAATCTTTAGTATTAATATTTTAATAGTCATTTAGAAAAACATTTCTTGGGGAGGCCACCTCCCAATAAATATCATTTTAGAAAATCTAACCACTCATTTTTACTCAATACTTTTACTTTTAATACTTAAGTACATTTTATATTAGAAATTTACTTTTGGTACTTAAGTATAAAAAATATCAGATACTTTAAGACTTTTACTCAAGTAATATACGTAGAGGAGACAAACTTTTACCAAAGTAATTTTATGGTAAGATACTTGTACTTTTACTCAAATATCACTTTGTGGTACTTTATTCAAGACTACACAGAGCTTGTATTCTAGCACTTAGAGATGACAGATGTTTAGACATCAGTATTCTTCACAGTCATGTTCAATAAAAGCATAAAATGGTATATTTTTTTACTCTTTATGTTCTTTTTTTAATTTATGTTTGTAACATGTTGTGCTTTTGGGTTATTCCTTCATCAGTGCCAGAGCAGTAGCCCCTTTCTGACAGACCGACATTATCCCTGTGCAAACAGTGAAGTGTGGCAGGCACCGCTCAGTCCTGAGCTCAGGACTCGGTTGGGAAGTGCAGGACGCCGGGGAAGTGCCCCAGTTATTGACATTCAAAGGGCAAACCAAATCAGCCAGCTCCATGCTTTCATTCAGTCTCAGAGATCAATCAGTCCCACTGTCATGGTACCAGAGAACCAGGCGGACCTCAGCCCTAGGAAAAGCTGTCCCCGGCATTCCTCAGAAACTGAGGAAAGGCTCCTCTCCCCCAGTGCTGTGCCAACGCTGCTCATCTCCCCGGTTTCTTCACCATCTGAGTTCCGCCGCCTTAGTGATGCCAGTTTTACGTCACCGCTGGAGGCCACGAATGATAATCTAAACATTCCTCAGCTAAATGCACGCAGGCACTCTGACCTTAGCAGTCTTTTGAGCCTAACTAATCAAAAACATCTTTCTGGATTACATAGAAACCCCACATGCCAGGCCTGCATCTCTTTGCTCCTGTCAAGGTCACAAGATTGCATCCACCGCTGTTCCCTTGTCTCGCCAACATATCTCTGCCCATGTGACGTACGACTCCATTCCTTATCAGGTGCAAAAATGACTTATGGTTACGGACAATCCAAAAGCTCAAGCGATTATTCAGATTTATCAGTGCTGCAGCAGTCCCTGTTTAACATAATCAGCCGCAGAACAGTCCCTTGTCACACCACTCCAACCCAAGCCTCCTCGGCATCCCCAAGGCCGTCGGGCGGGGATGGAAACTGCAGCCAAAACAGCAACCCCCTGTCCCCAGAACCTCTCCAGGACTGTGAGGACAGATACTGTTCCAGAGAGCAGCAAGCTGCCACTGCTGCAGGAGTGGTAGGTTACAGAAGCAAACATACTGTTTTAACTCCTCGTCAGGGAGCCAACACCTGCTTTGTAGATTTTTCCCAGTCTTTAGAAAGCACATCTTTCTCCTGCATGAAGGACTGATCTCCTGTCTGCTCATAGGCTTTGAGTACTCAGTCTTATAATCATAAGCTTGCTGCTGTCGGGGAAGAATGGTGCAGCCTCTAACAGACTACATTTCCCTTCTGAATAACCTTAACAAAAGAACCTTTACAAATGACCTAGATTTTAACATTTCCCTTTCTGATTTACTGGAGCAGTGCAACATCTGTCTTTCTCCTTAGCTTGCCTTGGTTAGATGGCCTCTAATTCAAGGAGAAGGGGCAGTTGTCCGGTTTCCATCCTCTTGGTCTCTCCTACTTCCTCTCTGTGTCCTCATTTTAGCTTCACCTGTCAACGCCTGCTTATTGTTGAAAGAAATGTTTCATTATCTTATTTTTGCTTCCCATCCTGTTATTCATATATCTGGTTTGATGTTTTGTATTTTGCACAAGCAGATGTTCAGTATGGGCTACAAATTTCCTCCCACTGTGGTCTAACTTTAAATATTTCTGCTGTTTGTCTTTAGGCCAGTTCTGCAGGTCACCAAAGTCAGCCATCTGTTCATGGCCTTCCCTCATCTAGCACAGCAGTGCACACCCAGCAGCAGTACCTTCCTCCTGGACACAGCTACCCTGCTGCACACTACACGGGTCAGCCCAGCACCGCAACACCAGCCCCTGCTAGTTTAAGCTCAATAAACATTCAGCAACAGCCCCCAGTTGCAATGAGCATTACGACAACTGGGCCACCTGTTGCACAGAGCTATCAAGCAGTAGGACAAGCAGTAGTACAGGACCCTTTGACTTTTCCTCTGCTTGAGCATCAGATGTCCCATAACTCTGCAGGCTCGCCCCAACAACAGGCTCAGTCTGCAGTTCATCAGCCAGCACACAGTTGCCCCACTGCATCAGTTCCCCCAGCCGTAGCAGCGACAGCTCCATGTCAGTCAGCACACGCTCCCAGCTCATCCCACCAGGCCCAAGTCCCAGTTAGACAGCTCAGTCAGCAGCCTGCTCAGAGCTCCTCTACACCAGCACTTTACAATCAACAAATAACCATTCAACAAGAACAACCCTTACCACAAAATGCTCATTCAAGTGTCCAGCAGACAATAAATCAGCTTAACCACGAATCTGTTCATAGCGCACTCCAGCAAATGGCTCAGTATCCCACCTTTTCATCTCACAGTCTTCAGTGTCCCACGCAGCAACAAGCAGGTGCCTCAGCTCTCCAGCAGCACGGTCAAAATGTGACGATGACACTTTCAGAGCAGAGTCTGAATGCAGCGCAGTGCCAGTCCTGTCCCACCAGAACCCCAGCTCTGCAGGTTCCTGCAGAACAGAAGGGTTACTTTGTCCCAGGTCCACCTGACGCAGCCCCTCAAAGCTATGCACAGCCTACTGTCCAACAAGCCGCAACGGGTCAGAACCAGTACCAGTCAGCACAGTGTATCACTGCTCCACATGGTTATGGAGGAGCTAACCGAGCAGTATCTCCTCATAACTTTTCAACCTCTTCCCAGCAAAACCACACTGTACAAATCAACCAGCAGGTGAGTGTCTAGAATTATTATCCTGTTACACTTTATGAAGAAGTACTGTATTTATTCATGTATAATACTAGAAATTTTACCCTAAAAATCATCCGTAAAGTGTGTGTGTGTGTGTGTGTGTGTGTGGGGGGGGGGTATTATACACAGGTTATTGATGATTAGCTTTATGCTTTTTAAGCTAAAAAATGATCGTATTATACATGAATAAATACGGTAGTACTGTTAATGCTGTTTCACTGCCAATTTCTCTCATTTTAATTCTATTCTTGCATCATATATTTCATAAATTAGATGAAACAGCTTTGTCTGAACATGAAACTGTGTGTGTTTTGGCTGGAAAGTAATTAATTTAACACGTGCTTGTTTGATGTCTAGCAGCTGATTCAGTAAAAACCAGATGATTTAAAATACAACCGTTCGTTTGTCCATTAACAACAGGAAGTTAATGGGTAATGGACGCAATAACAATGTTTTTGATGCTGTATCCACCCAGCTTCTGAGGCATTTATGATGGGTTTTATTTTGTACAAAAGGCTCCCGTTTGAACAGAAGACAGGCTGGTCTCAGTCATAAGCACAGGAAGGAAAATACAAGCTGTTCTGATTTGGGTCAGCTGCAGGAAATCTGCGCCAATGAAGGATGAAAGCATAGTCTCTGTTGTTTCAGAAGTTCCTCCCTGTTTTTGTGCTTTGTTCTGAAGAGTATTTCTTTCGGTCAGAGCATTTTGCAAATTGGACAAGATGGACAAAATCTCATCCAGTCAGCTTCCAGTTCAAGACTTGCTCCTCATCAGTCACTGGCCCAGACTACTGCCCACCAACAGCTAGACGCCCTGCAGATCTCAGCGTCTCTCGCATCATCACAACCACCCCAGGTAATACTAGTTTGTTCTGACATTACTTTACCTTGTCAGTTTTTTTTCCTTTCTTGCTTGCTTTTTTAGATCATATGATTTTTCCCTGTTTCTTCCTCTTTCCTTCAGTTTTCCTCACAGTATCCTACAGTCCAGGTGATGCCAGCTGTGGCTGACTGTGAATCATCCTACCCTCCCTCCTGCACTGCTCTTCATCCTTCTGTCCCCTCATCTCTTTCTCACATCTTCCTTTCTTCTGGCTTCACAGTTTCTGTGACCCCCTCTGTCTCCCCTCTTTCTCCTCTGCACATTGAAAACACATTAGTCTCACCCATTCACGTGTCCCTCATACCATCTCCATCGTCTGCCCTGGGTTTGGTGGAACTCTCATCCCCTCAACACCAACCTATTGCTGCTCGATCTGCAGCATCTCATACGCAGGCTGCATTTATTTCAGTCCCAACCACCTACCCCATACACACACACACTGCTCAGAGCCAGAACATACACCCTCCTACAAACGGCAGCTCACAGCCTCTGACACAGGTAATTATAATAGCTATAGAGAGGCAAATATAGTGTGTGTGTTTGCTGTAAAGGTGTGGACTGCAATATGAAGGATTGTGTTTAGGTGACTCGTATACTGTAATTATTTAAAACTACAATCACATATTTCCATTTAGATTCATGTTGCATCACGTAATGTTTGAAACAAAATGAATGTTTAATATGCCAGTCAGATTCAGTTATGCAAATTAAATGGAAAAACAAATTAATTCAGAGTCTCATAAAAATTAAAGCATAAACAGTTTTGAGTAGAATTTTTTTAATCATAAGATAACGTCATTACACATAATAATAATTGCAGTGATAATCATGTTTTGTTATTTTTTTTAAAGCAGGTTCCTCAGCCGGCTCAGGCCAGCCACGCTGAGCCGATCCTCGGTGCTCATCAAGTCCAGTCAGCTCAGCTCACACAACCTGCAGTCCTCACCTCATCTCTGCATGATGAGGCGGACCTGCACACCTCCACTGCTGTTACCCAGCCGGACAGCACAAACCCTTGCCAGCTGCCCCCACAGAGCCAAGCCCAGAGTTGGGTACGAAGCCAAATTCTTGTGCTGCAGTCCTCTGACTCACAGAGAGCAAAGTTAAGTCTTCTACTTCTGTTTCTCCTCAGACAAAGCTCAGCACTGTCACAGGAGCTGCAGGTCAAAGTCTGACAGAGATCAACATGGAGGTACAAATGTGACTTACTGCAATATTTATTTTGTAGCTTTGTACACTTTTTAAAAGTCTGTTCATTGTGCTCCACAACAATAGCCTACTTATTTGTAGCGTTAACTTTATGAAAGTCCAGATCAATAGAAATGAGAACCAGTTAATGCAATCCAATACGGCATAATTATTTATTGTTGCCATTGCGTTTGTAGGATCAGGCTGCTGAAAAACCTATTGGAGGGCAGAGCTACGACAGGTACATCCTTACATATTCATATTAGTTTAAACTGATGTATTTGTTGGTCCTTTTTAAATGAACAGGTCATGGAATGAGCTAATGGGTCGGGGCATCTCTGGTGAAAATGTAACCATCAGTAAACCGTTTACCTGCATCTGTTGTTTTTCTTTTACACCCAGCAGAGAATAATTTTTTTATTTTCTACAGTTTGGTTGTTATTTTACAATAGATAGCAGATATTTAATCCCCCACAAATCTATTCTCTTTTAAGCTTTAAGCATGTGCAGCTCAGTGTGACTCATGGCTGATGCTGCTAGAGTTTCAGGGCGGAGATAAACCTTACAAAACCTTATTTTTTTACTGAGCTTTAGTCACTGAGGGGAGTTAAAGACCTTAAGTCCTTTTTTATTTCCTATTCAAGATTTGTCATAACCAGAGAAATGTCCAATAATAGATCCTCCTTTGTTCAACATTTCTAAAAATAATTCTCATTTATTTACTAGAAATGTTTCTGCAGTTTCAAACATTTTGGGGGTTTTTTTTGTGCATTTTTTAACGTTTGTGACTTGCTAGTTTGTTGTAGTTACTTTGCACTGCTGCAACACATTTCCAGCTATATCTATTTTTGATGTTTAGGTATTGAGTAAATGCCTTCATTTTGATGCTAATTCTAAAGGCTTGTTTTTCTCCAAAACCAGTGTCAACTCTGACGCAACATCAGGAAGGGAGATGAGTGACGGTAACGAAGGGACGCAAGGAAGCAAAGGGGACGGGAAAGTTCGCAAACACCGCAGGACTTCACGCACCCGTTCTCGACAGGAAAAGACCAACAGGCCGAAACTAAACATGCTCAATGTGAGAGACATAAATATGTTCTAAGACCCTCTGTTTAAAATCATGGTAGATAGTGTATGAATTATATTTGCTTTCACTGCAGGTGTGCAACACCGGGGACAAGATGGTCGAGTGTCAACTAGAGACTCATAACCATAAAATGGTAACTTTTAAATTCGATCTGGATGGAGATGCGCCCGAGGAAATAGCTACTTACATGGTATGTAAGAGGCAGTGTGCTGCCACAACGTTTGAAGTCTGCTTGCCTTAGAAGTTGTCGTAGCGTTCAGAACACAAAGTCCCAGTTGGCTTCAGCTGCAATGCAGCAAAAACTCTCTTGGCTGTCTTTCGCTCTTTCTCTCTTGTCCAAAGCTCAACTTACTCATTCACTCTGAGCACACTTAGAGATGGATGAATGTTTAATAGGGCAACTATTGTGGTTCACTGCAAAAACTTGTGACGTTTTGTGAATTCCCATTTGTGGAAAGAAAATTATGTTTAAACCCAAATGATCAAATGAGCTGAAATGGCAAAAGTAGATTATTTATATTTTGTACGGCCATTAATTGCAGATGACATTAGTTTTATCTTGGCAGCAGACTTCATTAATATAATGTACGGGACATTTAAATTATTTAATTCTTCCTCAGCCTTTTAAACATACTTTACTTCTTTAAAAGTTCTGCTTAAACAGATCATTTGAACTCATTTTAAAATCCCTTTCTTCAGGTGGAAAATGATTTCATCCTGCCTCTGGAAAAAGAGGCATTCATTGAACAACTGAAAGATATTGTTGACAAGGCTGAAGACATGCTGAGTGAGGACACAGAGGGCGAGAGGACCTCTGACCTGGGATGCAATCTTAAACACACAGAAGGAGCTGGTGCAGTGGGAGCAGAGGTGAGAAGGAAGCTGTCCACACCTCATGGCTGCAACGGAGTAATCTGTCCGCAAGTGCCTCTGCTTGGAGACGCTCTCCATCCTGACAGCACTCTCATATTGACTTTGCATGCAGACCTTGCCAAAAATGTCCAGTCTTGCTGATGCAACATTTTAATTTAACTGAATTTATTTCTTTCAGCTTAGTGGCTGCTTGGGAGAAACATTTTAAAGTGTCTAACAAATTGATCCACATGCAATCACTTTAAGTAATTTTTTTTCTTTTTGCTTTTTTAAAGGCTTCTAAACCCAGTGCCCCGCAACTAGTCTATCAACAAAATGGTAGAGTATTTCAGATTGTACTGCAGTTTAAATCAAACACAAGTAATTTTTTTGTATTGATATGCTTAAAAATTTAATCGGTGGATAATAAACTATATATTTCTTGTGAAACAGTCTGTTTGTTCCTTTAAGGTCTCCCACTGAAAATATGTTAAAGGATTTATGAGTTTTCCTGCTCTCTCTTTGGCAGTCCTTCACACTGGTAAACGCTGGTTTATCATCTGCCCTGTGGCTGAAACACCCATGCAAGACAAAGAAAGTACTTCAGCGCACACCTCTACAGCCCAGGGTATGACGCATACTTCCCGTTTTCTATTTCTTTTCCCACATCTTCAGATTTACAACATATTAAACAGCATTTTAAATGTGATTTGTTAGAAGAAGAGCGTATATTCAGTAATCCAAGCTGGATTTTTATTTATTTTTTTATTTGCTTGCTGTTGACAAAAGGACTGCTCGTGCATTTGAATGTGCAGTGTGAATCTTTGATTTGGGTCAGTTATATAAGAGTGTGTCTGCAGTTTTTCTGAGGCAACAAAGAAGAGCAGAATTTTGCCCCAGTTGACTGAGACTCTGAGAGGAAGATGAACAGTGATGTAACTCATAGGAAGCTATGGCACATACTATAGCTTCTTTCCTTCATGGCCTTGACTATTAAACTTACCAACTGTTCTTTTATTGTTGTTGTTGATATTGTTAATTCCAATCTTTTTACTTCTCCAGAATATGAAAAGTCTGGCTCATTGTCAGTCGAGTCTAACAGCAGTACAGCTGCAGCGGCTACCCCTGGTGCATCTTTATCTTCCCAAAATGCATCATTCTCAACAGAACCGTCAGACCAAATCCTCTGCAAAACCCAGGTCCAGCAGACCCAGCCCTGTGTAACTAAACATACTCTTCTTGCTGGAAGCAGCAGTCATGACCGCGCGCTTCCTGTTGAAGAACCTCACATTTCAGCTGTGTCTATGGTATCAGATATACCATGCTGCTCAATTGTGCCACCCGTCTCCCTGGATGATAATGCTGCTGACAAAGGAGCGAGGACTGGTGCCTCCGTCTCATCGCAACCTAATCAACCAAATAAGGCTAGCCCTACTGAAGACCTACCTCCTCAGCTGCCCTGCAAACAGTCTGTGGTCCTGCAGCAGCCTTATGCCACACCCATACAGCCCGGAACCGTGACCTCCCAGCCTCAAAGTCCCGCCCATCAAAACCCCCCGTCATCAAACCAGCCGCAGTCTGGGGGACAAGGAGAGTCGGACGGCGAGGGGCCTCGTAAGGTGGAGTTTGTTGACCGTACCATCAAGACACTGGATGAGAAGCTGCGAAACCTGTTATACCAGGAGCACGCTCCCTCTCAGCCTTCAAATGCCTCATCTGAACCCCAGACCTCCAGCACAGACAGACAGAGCTCCCCTCCAGTCTCAGATGGCCTCAGCACTGAGGGTCCACTCTCGAAGAAAAAGATGGAACCATTGGTAAACTGCAGTATTTGTCTCTGTGACTAGGAGCTGTGTTAATAGCAGTATTCTTGAATACTTTGCCTGAACTGTGCTACTGACTTGGTCATTTACTGTAATAAACAAAGGTCTATTCTAAGTTTAGAGAAAGATAACAAAGTTAAATCACCATGACAAATCATCATGACCTCTCATTTTGAGTATGAAAGTTGTGAGTCATTCAGGGGTGGATAATAGCTAGCTTTATCACACTGATTTAGTGTTTGCAAAGTTGTATCACTCCACAGTCGTGCACACAAACCCTTTTCTTTCTTTCAGCCCCAGATTCTTGAGCGCACAGATTGTGTGGAGGCCTTAAGTGACCCTGCAGTAACAGGTTGGTCGCTTTATTTATGTTTTTGCCGTGTTTACTACCACACAATATCGTGAAATAGCTTTTGTTTATTCTGACAGGTTTTGTTTTCATTCTTTTAGACTCCAGCAAGACCAAACAGATCAGAACAGATGGCTCCGCCAGCTCTAGTTCACAGGCCCCAAAAAGCAGATTTCAGGTAAGTAGCTACTGAAAAATACTGCTAAGTTTATTGAAATATAATACCAGATGTGCTGCTGTTCATCATATGTCTAGTTAGTTGTTTTATAGTGGCTGTGTCTCAATTCATGGGTGTGTCTCAATTCATGGGCTGGGTAATCATGAGCATGTAGCCTTGCCGGACCACGTCCTTCCCAGTAGGGCTAGACTGCATGAAACTGTTGTGAAATGAGACAGTCTAGCCTTCGCTTGACGAAAGTTTACGTGACCACGCGCTACGTTGTTACCACAGTGAATGTTTTCATTTCAGATTTAAACTGCGTTGGGACATGTATTCACGTTTCTTTTCACTGGAAGAATAACTTCACAATTAAAATGTTACACGTAAATAAAAAAATAATAATTTGGGTTCAGCTCCATTAACTACTTGCAGTTGCATTTTATTCAGTATCTTATTGCAGCATGAATTTCATCAGCAAAGTTGTTAAACTTGGTTTTAAAAATAAATAATTTCGTCCATGATGAATTTCCAAACTATGCCGACTTGGTAAAAAAAAATTAAAACTGCACCGTCTTCGTTTCTCTGTTTAGTTTTCTGTCGGCACAATGAGTCCTGGTATATCCTCGCGGCCAACAAATATGCACTCGTGAGGATGCAGCTCATGAATTGAGACACAGCCAGTGTGTTGTTCTTATTATAAAGTTTCCTGTCCTTTCCAGATCATCCCCACTCCATCAGATGTCATTTGTTGTTCTGAAAAAAGCAAGACGAGCTACAGTGCTTGTAGTTCCACAGCACCCTCTAGTGGTTCTGGAGGGTCCCACAGCCAGCTCCAAAGCAAGCATGGGAAGGAGAGCAGCTGTGTGGCTGCAGGCAGGTCCTCTGGAACAGCTGGAGCTGGCGATGACACTGCAGGAACATCTAAACCTGTCAGGGGTAGCCGTAATTCTGCCCCGCCAAACTTTTATCAAGCCACCCCCAGTTCCAGTCCTGATCGCACCTCTCGTATCCCCCGAGCCCAAACGATCGACACTTCCACCCATCCTCACTGCCACTACTCAGACTCAGCCGACGAGGACAGCAGCAGCATGGCCTTTCCTCCAGCCCAGCCTCCTAAGGCTCATTCTGTGTCAGAGCACAGTGGAAGCGACCTCGTTAAAAGGGCAGTCGCCTTCCTGCGGCGCTCGGGTCGAAGCAAAAGTGAGCAGAGCTCTGATTCACAGAGCCGTCAGCTAGTGGCGATGAATGGTCACACCCCCTCGCCTTCTGCCGGACACATCCACTCATCTTACATCAGCAGTGACAACGACTCTGAGTTTGAGGATGCAGATATGAAGAAAGAACTACAGAAACTCAGAGAAAAGTAAAGTATCCTACTCATGCTGGCACTCGCCTACAGATGGACACATTTTATTTTCTTTTTCCATCATGTTCAGAAGTCATTTTCTGTTTATCTCTGTTACTTTCTCAAGAAAGTACATTTTATTGTCAGGATAAAACAAAAGATTCTGTTTTTACATCAGGAGTGTCATGCCAAAAACAATATTAATAGAACTGTAATTGTATTAAGTTAACTGTAAAGAAAAAGATTTTACATGTGAATTAGTTCAGTTAATTTATTGTACCAAAAACCTTAATACTTTCCTTTCAGTTTTCTTATTATTTGAAGCTACTGACCAAAACAATGCATAAAATTAATTTCATGTCAGTAAGAAAATAAAAAGTTTTGATATATTAAAACAATATTAGCAACATTCTGCTGGAAGAACTTCCAATAAAAAATGTAAAGTTTAAACAAAACTAACAATTTTGTCACTGCAGCAATTTTTTATTAATTTTTTTGAAATGTAGTTATTTTTTTACACTTTTAGTATTCAAAATTTTTGTGGATATAGTCTCATCTTTACAAGCTATCTTCATAGTGCTCACTCTTAATCATTTGATGCACATCTACAACCCAAAGATGGCTGCCACAGTTATTTCACCTTACGTAGCACAAAAATGGCTATAACTGTTGATTTTACAGATATTAAGTGTGGTAGTAGCCAAGTATCAACTGCAAGAAATATTTTGAGTGCGATTGCACAAGAAAACTTTCAAAACTTTGTCATGTAACACTGCAGGAGAAATGCATATTTTTAAAGGATTGCTACTTTTAATTAAGCAAGTTTTTAAATGAGTCGGCTTCTGCAAGAACAGTTTTTGTGTGAACATTGATCAATGTCTTTGTGTTCTTTCAGAACACACTTTATCTTACGTTGCTCTTGCCATGTAATAATATATAAATATATGCTTTTTTTTTACTAGACACATGAAAGAGATCTCCGAGCTTCAGGCTTTCCAGAGGAGTGAGATTGAACATCTGTACAAGGAGCTGGGAAAAACTTTGCCACCCAGTGTTAGCCTGCTTCACGCTGTTCCTCCAACGGGTCGAAGGCGCAGAACCAGCAAACACAAGCTGAAAGCTGGAAAACTGCTCAACCCAATGGTGCAGCAGCTCAGAAATAACCTCAACAGCACTAGTGTGGAAAAGAAAGGTGTGTAGGTCGGCATGGTGGGATTTTGAAGTGATCTGTGAGCATTTTGTGCCAGTATCACATTTTATGTTATAAAACCCTGAAAATATCAGAGTTCAGAAAACTGTAGGCGTTTGAACCGGTGATGCACTGTGACTCATGATTTTAAACTCTTTAATTTTTTTTTAAACAAGGTGAGAGCGCTGCCAGTTCCTCCAGCTCTCCTGCTAAAAGTTCACTCCTCTCAGATGGCTCTGCCCACTCCAGTGCCAGCTCCAGCTCCAGCCAGCAGCCAGGAACGCTCCCGGAGCAGGTCCATACCCAGCAGCCCTGCTCGCTTAAAAGTTCTTTCTCTTCAGACAGCATCTACACAGGAAGACATGGTGACGGATCGGCCAACCAAGCTGGCCCTGGTCAAGGTACTCTTTATAAATTCACATCCGTGCTAGTGAGTGTGCAGAGAAAGAGACACAATCTACAAAACTACTATTGGTTTCACAGTACATGTTGAGAAATGTTGACACTTTTTTTAAAAAAACTGAACAGGAAAGATTTTTAGATTTGTAAACAAATTAAGTGAGAAAAATTGGACATAGATGTGTAGGTAGATGGATAGGTACTTTATTAATCTCATGAGGGAAATGTCACAATAGACATTTCAGGTAGAAGAGACCCTACAAAGTATTTGTGAATATACACACAGCTGTGATGTACAATGTGTGCAGCCTGCAGTGTAAATTTATGTCTAAAAACTAAATTAATTCAGTTGTGCTCAAAATATTTGTGAACCCTTTTCTGTTTCTGAATCAAACAAGCAACAAAGGGTAGATAAGGAGACAGCTTAAAACTATATCACAAGAGAAGTTGGACTCCTCCAATCCACAGTTTCATTGAATCAACCAGGATAAAAACAGCTTGTTTTTATTGGCTGAGATCATAATTCACTGTGACGTATCGGTGGCAAAAACTTGGCAGAAAACTTTCTAATTTGGCTCCTTTATGCTGGAACAATTTCAAGTAAATGTTTTTGTAACTAATCAAGTTCGCCACATCACGTTGAAGTTCATGTGCAGAACTGATTGGATGGGTTGATTTATGGTAAAGACTTGTCTAAATTAGCTGTTTTTGTGGATTGGGTATTTCACAGATACTGATATTTTTCATTGCTTTCTGCCATCAATTTAAATGTAAATGTAACACCACTCAATAGCTCGTCTTGAGTTATGTTTGGTGAAACAGCCCAAACCATGATATTACCACTGTTGTGTTTTTTAAAATGTGCCAAAGAATAAAGTGTTTTTACAGGTTCATTTTGGTTTCAGCCATTTGTTAAGGATTTTATTAGCTTACAGTCTTGTCCTCCATAATTCTTTAGCTAAGCAAGCAGTTTTAAAAAAGCAGTGGCCTTTTTGTATTTTGCCATGAACATTATTCGTTTTCTAGAAACATGAAGATGACTTAAAGCGAGACTAGTTGCAGTTTTCACCCCACAGATTAAAAACCTTGGTCTGAAGGTGATCGGTATTCTTGTGGGAGGCTGTTTTTGTTAGTACACAGTATGTGTATTTGACTGTGGATTGGTGTAGTTCAATCTAGTATAGATTGCCTTATTCTACTTTTCCCACCTGATGAACATCAATAATGCTTTTCCCCTCTCTCCTTCTCTTTTTTGTGTTCATGCAATGATGCACTTCCACAAAGTAATGTGAGGCTGAGACTCTGTTAGATCCCTGTTCTGATCACCTGCTTGCATTGATCGCCATCCCAGATTCAGAACAGCTGAATCTCATTTCACTGTCAAACCTTATTTTCCACAGCACCTTTAATTAGATGAATAAAACCCCATATTTAGACTAATAGTTACCCTTTTCATTGACATAGTCTCATGTGTTGCTTTGAACTGTTTGCTTTGGCATCTGTAGTGGGTTTAGTTTCTTCCAAATATCCCGCTCGATGTCATTTTTTAAATTTATTTTTTATTTTTTTGGTGCTTTTGATGGTGGGGGTTTCTCATCTCATTCTCTGTGCACTTTTTTCAAAGTGTCTCTCTTTGTTTCTTCTCTTCTTCTTCCCTCTTATATTCATTCCTACAGGCTGGACGGTTTACCACCAAACGTCAGAGAGAGTCACCTATAAATCTAGTAGCAAACCACGCACTAGATTCCTCAGTGGACCTGTGTCTCTGTCCATCTGTTTGTATTTGTTCTTTTCTATTTCCCTTTGCTCATTTCCATACACTTTGTTTAACCTGCCTCTATCTTCATTCTTCTTTATTTTAAATTAAGTTCAGTTTAGTGGATATTATTTTTCACCCTCCTTACAGGCCTCCTCACCTGATGTTCATGACCCCTTTCTTTTATTTACTCCTTTAAATCACACCTTTAATTCAGCATCCTTAAGTATTCTTCTGTGTACTTTTTTCCCCCTGAGAGCCAGAGGTATTTAATCTCATGCGTACATCATGTTAGTAAACTGACGTCATGTAAATCTGTAATCTGTTTAAAGGATCCATAATTAGTTGTAACATTAGCCTTTATTTGATAAACATATTTTAACTGTAAAATAAAGACTGTAAAAATACTGTAGGCCACATGTGTCAAACACAAGGCCCTCCCACACCCCCGTGTGGTCCTCCAGAGGGCC